AACATTTCATGACTGGCAAAATCTCATAAGCTCAAGAGAATTATCAGTAACATACTGAAGTAACAAACGTTTTGCATAACTTTGTTGCGTTAACTAGAACCACGTGCTCAATGCGTGGTTGACAGTCATTCGCAATAGTCTGAACTGCAATGAATGCTGTCCCCTGAACAGAACTCATCGCCAGCTTCCTAAAGGTACATCTGAAATGTCTGTCAGCCAAAATAACAGTTACAGTAGAATAAGATACTGTCATTTTACATGGTTGGTTCATCTTTAACCTCATACAACCTTTAAAAATATATTAGTATAAATGTAATGAGAGGTTTTCGTGTATTTCCAAAGGCGACATTGGGAGATATCTCCCAATGTAATTTCAAAAGTATATATATCCGTGTATGTAAAGTATTCAGCCCTATATCTCCCAATGTAATTTCAAAAGTATATATCCGTGTATGTAGGGTATTCAGCTGACGAGTTCTACCGAAATTTGATGAATTCATTAAATCCTGCTTTATTAACCTTTATTGCTTGTTTTAAATTCGTATCGGGAAATAAATGTTTCCGGTATCAATATTATGTTTTCAAAAATTTACCTGAACCCTTTCTGTTTAAGTTATATCCAAGTGTAAATTCTGAGCGTAAGTTTTTGGAGTCTCGTGTTAACCGACATCATGTCGCCTTTGGAAGTACACGAAAACCTTTCATTACATTTATACTAATATATTTTTAAAGGTTGTATGAGGTTAACTGTGAACTGACGAAATAAAATAATACCTCATTCCACTCAATTGATTATTTCGGCTTTATTCAAACTCCATGGAAAGGAATAAGTACAGGCTGTTTTTAAGCAGTTGCAAAGAATGAACAAAACTAACTCACTTCCTTCTAATTTTGCCATTCTCGTTGTGGAGGTTTATCAGCCTGAAGAATTGTATGGTGTTTCTCAACTGCTTATTATAAAGTGAAAATACCAAATTACTACCACCCAGACTTTAAGAACGTTAAGCATCTACGTAACTCCAAACTCTCCACAACCTGCTAAATCCAATATTTCATTAGAGTAGCTGAATACTGATGATCCTTTATATCAACGCCTGATCTAATTGTAATACACCGCCCCATAATAAATTCGAAGTGTCTTAACAATCTCGGGCAGTAAAGGTTTAAGACTTGAAACTTACATGTCAACTATAATCACTACCCTTCGTCGGAGGATCATCGGCGTATTAATATCAAGTGAAACCAGCTTTATTATTTCAGAAGGCATGTAAGCACGTCATTTCATCTCACTCTCTCACTGCTATTCAGAAAACCGTTAAACGCAATATGTTTAGTTCGAGTTGCCACTCTCCATGTACCACACAAAGCAAGAGAAGAGAGTAAAGAAAGATTCAAAAGAGACAATAAACAGAAGTGTGAGGGAAAAAGAATAGTTTCAATGGATATGGCAAATCCCAAAGAGTGAATGCACCCGTGCCATTGAGAACGATTTTGACCCATATTTCCAGCAGCCTCCAGATATTGATTCTCACCATGCCGAAAACTCCTACCAGTAAGTAGTCTACACACCCCTACATGGCTATGACCGACTGTCAAGAATCTCATGGACTGATGCCATGTCTTGGTTTGACCACCATTAATTCCTTACTAACATGATGCTTTGTCAGCAAATATTGCCCATCGAAGAAGGCTATGACTAGGCATGCGCAACATGTCCTGGACACCTCAATGAGTCCACCTTCACAACCTCATCGACTGACTTACCTGACGCTCAACGCCTAATCTCAATACTGCTGACCATATAACACCTACCACCTAAAATACAAGGGAGGTAGAATGCAGATACCTTTGATCAAAGACAGTTAACCTTTTCGTATCTCCCACTTTCAATGACCATATCTCGCAGACGTAAAGAAGGACGAGGCGAACTGCTGAGCAGTGCACAAGTCTGATCAATAGCCGGATATCACCTCTACACCAGAGATGATGTAGGTTGGCAAATGCCATACCAGCCTTTAGTATCCGTGCTGAGGCTTCCTCAGAGACAAGCCTGTTGGGGCTGATGCAACCTCCCAAATAAATTTGGTGATAGTCACGCCCAAACACTTTACTCCTTCTGTTTAAGCTAGGAGTCGGTGTATTAGAGTCCTGTGGAATCACCTTACACACCCGACTGGAGCGAATCGCATATCAAACATTCGAAGTTTTCTGCTTAATGTACTCAGAACACCTTGCAGTTTATCAGCGTCTTCACCTAGGAAGATTATATCATCCGCATATTCTAAGTCAACAAAATTATTCTCTGGTAACAAGTCAGTCCCTGAAGTCAGTTAAGGTTAAGCCCATTAGTTCATCTACAATGGAATTAAACAGAAATGGGGACAGTGGGCATCCCTGACAGACACCACCGGTTGTCGTCACTTCAGATGAAAACTTGCCGTAAGCTCTTACCTGGCTGCATGAGTTCGAGTAGTTTGTCTTAATCAGTGCGATGTATTTTCTCGGCATTCCATTCACAGCCAAACATAGCCATAGTACCTCTCGGTCGACAGAATCGAATGTTGCTTTCAGGTTAAAAAATATGACGATCATTGGACGCCAGTAAGTATGCCTATGTTCCAGAATCTGTCGAAGGTTGAAGATATGATCAATACATCCTCTTCCTAGTCTAAAGCCTGCCTGGTTCTCTTGTGGTTGTTTCTCCCAAGCACCACTTAGTCTACGCATGATTATTGAGTCTAGAACTTTGGGTACCGTGTTATTCAAGCTAATCTTCCTGTGATAATCACAGGAACTTGTTTCCCTTCTTGTATATATTGGGATAATCAATAACGCTAACCCAACGGGGGTGCCTGTTTCACAAACGCTGCTTGATATCTTAGTTCATCCAGATAGTAAATTTCCTCCACCCTCCTGACTTCACTAAACCTATGAAATTTCATAAATTAATCCCACAATCGTGCGATGAAATAAAAATTTTATCCCCATGAACTAAGCTGCCATTGACATATGTAAATACTCAATATTAAACTACAACAACCTCAGAATCCTAAAATGTGGTGCTATAAAGTGTAACTTGTGCTTAACAGGCATTTTATCGTGTTGTTTAAGTCAACATGATTATCGTGGTGAGTTTATGTAGCAGTCCCCCCTTATATATCTACTATCGCCTCAATGAGTTAGCTCTGCTCACCGACTCCCCTATGGTCCTATACGCAGATGACTTAAAAATTTGGAGAAAGCTGAAGGACAACAGTGATACGCCCACGTTGCAAGAGAACCTCAACAAACTGTCAGAGTGATCCACAGAATGGATGCTCCCGATCAATGTGGCAAAATGTGCAACCATGCACATCGGACAAGCAAGCACCAGCTCCTACGAACTAGAGGGAATAACACTCCCATCAGTTCAGACTCACTTGAACTTAGGTGTCATAGTTAGCCACGACTTAAAAACTACAGCACACTGTCGCGCGTTGGCTGCACATAGTTTCAGGTCCTTATGGGCAATTCGCAGAGCCTTTACTAGAATCACCAGAGATATGTTGACCTCCTTATAAACATCTCTGGTGAGGTCAAGACTGGAAAACTGTATCCAGGCAGCCAGTCCTTGTCTAAAAAGGAACTCACACATTCTAGAAAGGGTCCAAAGGAAGGCAACACGTATGGTTCTCGGCATGACTAATTTATCATACGAGGAAAGACTAGACAGTTTAAATCTCTTCTCCCTGTCATATCGTAGGTAGAGAGAAGACTTGATCACAATGTTTAAAATTTTAAATAATGACTACGGACCTGACCTATTCTCTCTTTTCCTTCCCACCAGGTCGGAACACCTTACATGACATAGCAGGAGAGTTCAAAAGCCAAGAAGAAATCATATTGCTGTTGAGTACTGGTTCTCACATCGAGTCATAAACTCTTTGAACCGACTCCCAGAAGAAGTGGTGTCTGCAACCTCAACTGATTCATTCAAGGGTTTGGACAACCACAGAAATTTACTAGAAAAGGATTAACATAGGCTACAAGCCTTCTATCCTCAATAAATAAATCTGAAGTATATGTAATTATTTGCCTACAACTAAAAACAATTCGACTGGATGCAAATAGACAGCCCTTTGTGTATAATCATAGAAGGAAACATCGCCAGTAGGAGTATAAACGTTGAGCACGATGCCAGCAAAGAACATTCAACTTATACGGAAATTCATTATTTTCCAGTAGTAACCATATAACAACAAAGTCGCTTGGGAATTTTCTAGATCTCAACTTATAGTGACTTCGTGGTGGATAAGTATCGCATCGGCCTGAGTTCTTAACCAAGAAGCATGGTGTAACTAAGTTCCTGGTAAGTAAGCTAAACACGCAACAAATCTAGTCAATAATGAATCCAGTTTCCTGTGCGGTTACCAAGATCAAATTGCAATCACTTATATAATTTCGAAATTAATGAGACTGATACGGTGGTATTAAGTTTACGACTATGCAACGAATCAGTATACTAGGACAATGTGAAAACAGGTAGAATCATAGCATAAAACCAACTGAAGGACCATATAAAATGTATAACTTACCTAACATTTCCTCACCACAAATATTTGTTATGGACCCACGGATTGCCGATTACACCAGTGCATTGGTATTGCATGTAAAACTTCGACTAACCACTTAGAAAAGCGGGTGCTGTGTCTCAACTTCCCTAATTACTACTACTATGTTATTGCTTACGGAAGCAAAATTAGGCAGTGCAACAGTTTATGGTCAAATAGCTAGTTAACACCATTACTACAAGCTATATATGTGGCTAACTTTCCATTAAGCTGAGTACACCATACTTACGATGCTGTGACTACACATGATTCCTCCGTTATGCAAGAATTCACCAAGACTATGTAGGGCTTACCGTCCAGTGAATATAAAAATAGTCGGACATGATGATAAAATGTCAAACTTTATTAGTTAAAAATGTACAAAATAATGCATCAATTGGCGACCTGTACCAAAGTAATGGTCTCTCCTTTCAATAAAATCCTTCCTGCAACGAAACAATAGTTAAACAATCATAAAACTAACCAAGCTGCTTCTTTGCACCCGATTTCATATGCCGTTCACAAGCATCTGCTAACACCAGGTTCATATACTCATCAAAACCCTGAACATAATAGTTTAAAATATATTACTAACGCACGATTATAACGCCTTCTATTCTCATGTTACATTGTTCATACAACCAGACCCTAACACGTGCTTTCTTTAAACGAATGTTAATTAAACTCAAATTCTAAACATACCTTCTGTAAGAAGTTGTAAATAACTCCCTAAACGTCACGATAAAGAATGAAAGTGATACTTACGATTGGCGGCTGTACGGCTCTATGGGATCTACCTCCTTCTCTATGCATTCTGAACAAGTATTCAAATTACGCGCCGATACTGACCAATGTACTTTAGCAAAACTTCAAGTCTCATGTCAACTTCAAGAGTGCAGTATAGTGACTTGCGTCAGAATTCTACTAAATTACTACTGTTAGTATTGAAATAACTCGAGGATCTTTGCGTGAAGAAAATTATAAAATGACACTAGATTAGCCTCAAGATATCAAAGCAAAATAAAGGTGTTTTGCACATTAAAAATTTTCAGTGTTTTTAGTGTGATGAAATGAATTGGTTAGCTTCTTAACAGCTTTAGGGACGATTCAAGGTCTTAGTTGCATTCCGATGCAGTAAATTTGCCTGCTCCAATAGGTAGACCTCTAAAGACAATGGTCAGCTGGATGCGCATTTTCTTCTAATGGCGTGTATAATATATCCTGAGACAAACTCGTTAGTGTAAGTAAGGAACATCACGTCATCAGATTAGTTGGAAATAACTTAGACGAGTTAATAGGCCCTAAAATAAAGGATGTCAGACAAATGGTACACAAAACGCTAGAAATAACTGGGAGGCATATATAAACAGATAAGGATGAGCAGTTGGGTGTGAATAGTACCAAGGGTATTTGTCGCAACAATTTATTATTTTTGACTAGACATTAATCCTTAACACATGGATATGGTCCATACCATGTTGCAATTTTCCATTATACGCATATTCTTGGGCAAAGAAAATGAAAAATCGCCCCAGTTGACACTTCTCGGTAAGCGATCCTCTATCAGTTCCAATATCGACTACCACAGAGTCCATATGATTTCGCTTTTCTGTCGTGATTATATTAATTACTAGCTGTCTCATAATACTACTACCATTCATCATTCGCTCCTTACGTTCCGAGTAGAACAAAGAACCTCAACAGAGTATTTTTATTGAGATCGGTCAACCATCATCATCTTCAGCTATGTCCATGACTACACATAGGTTTTAATTTCCTGTACTCATAATCTACACGTCACACTCAACTTTTCACTTCCCATCCAATCACCAGCCGCTTAGTCTCGATCAAATATTTCCCCAGAGTGTCTCCAAACCGTCTACATTTCCCCCGGCATATATGTAGGCTTTTAGTTGGATTTCTTTGTGTCATAGTTCCTTGCGGCACAAGTTTTATGGCTCACCATGTGATCTTCAGTTTATGGTGAAGGAAGATGCTAGTAAAAGTCTGCAGGCTGTTTAGAATACTTTTGTTGACGTGAGTACCAAATAGAAACACTAACCTGATATTAGTGTAGCAAACCCGAATATTGTTCCACATTGGAGATCTCGACGTTGAATTCAGATTAACGAATGTCTCTCCGGCTTTTCTGATCCTTACTTAGAAACCTTCATTGATCCAGCTTATAGCAGAAATAGTACTGTTCAAGCGAGTGAAGGAGAGAATTACTTCACGGTTGTCTGCTAAATGGTGATTCATCCATATTTTCATTTGTTGTGTACCTTCACCTCTGCCTTCCTCGTGCTCTCTTGAAGTCCTTTCTTCGGTACGTTTCTGTCAGCTTGTTGTTTCCCGCTTGTAGGTGTTCGAGGTTGTGTGACATCAGACAGAAATATTTGCGAAATCCAAATCTTCTTGGCCATACCTGTCGTCTCACTCCCTCTGAACATTCCTGGACGTTTGGTCGATTGAAAACTATTAAGACAGCGGGCGAACATACTCCACCCCACTTTCTGTGTGAAGCATAGCTTAGGGGAATAATTACCTTTCTGTTATTCCAAGTTTTCCTCGCGAAATCTTTTCATTTTACACTGCCTAGTACCTTCTCCATGGGCACAATACAGCGCATGCCACTATCCCTCCTGAAATAGGCCTTCATTTTGCAGCAAGCTATTCTTAATTTAAAGTAAACTGAATAGGAAGATGAAGCACCTACACCTGCCTGTCAAAACTGCCCTCATTCTTGGTGGGCTCTCTGTGAGTGACGCCTAAACTGAGTTCTCAAAGTAGAACTTTGCGAAAATTGTAGCACATCGCGTTGCTTTACTTCGTGAAAGTAGATCTATGGTTAGAAGGAATGAATGCCAAGAAACAAGAATAAACATGGGTTATAGTCACTGCACGAGTAACGGTCTGAAGATGTGGGCTCGCAGTCTCTGACTGAGCCAGATTGTTCCATATGGATTTGTATTGAAATCAAAACTGTCGTTAAACCGCAAGATTTCCCACTTAACAAAATGTGTCAAAAAACTTTCAATTATGAGACTGTTCGTCATATAAACAGGAAGAGCACACTGACTGAATACAAAATGGCCCAAAGGTAACCTAACCTGCACAGAAACGTGAAATGTACAATAGTCCATAAACCACAGAGGGTCTAATTAATACAAAAATGTAAAGTGATATGTAAAGTACAGCTTTAGTGTTTGACGTTGTACTACCAAACGTATCAGTAGTATTGTATTGCTTTTAGCCTGTTCCAGCCATACAGCACACCGCGTATTAATAGCTTTCATGACAAGTGTATCCCGGTATTTCACCAGGCACAGCTACATGAGGACATTCTGAGCAGCATCATCTTTACAAATGCATGCATGCATATAAATAGATCACCACAGACGACTAGGAAGCTGAGTTTCTTACAAAATTATGAAGTGAGAAGTATTTAGTACTGAGGCAAACTAGGTTTTAGTCTATTCAGCACAGCGAAATTAGTAGTGGAACAGTGGTAAAGATAGGCGGACTGATTCGAAGGAGGACAGTCGGTGAGTAGGACTTTTTATGCTAGATTTTCTTGTCCCATTTCTTTACAAGGCGCATTGGATATTGCAAAGTGACTCATCTACTTATATTGTGAAAAAATCTGAGAAATATTAGCATAAACATAAGAAAGTGGGCACCTGTTGACCGGAGGCAATCATTTCTACACAAAATGGTAGTGTATTACACTGACTACATATAATAATGATATTTTCGCTAGCATAGTTGAAATAATAATTAGAAACAATCACGGTAGCCCCACTTATTGAAGATTACAAGGGAAAATAAACTCAGGAAAGTGGCTGGACAGTGGCCGCATAATTAGTGGGATTAGGATAGATGTAACTCTTTTACTTAAAGACTATACTGTCCTTGGCTTATCATTCTACGAGCACTTGTCATCTTTGAGAGGAGCTAGAATGGACATGCTTTGACATGTTTTTGAGCCCGTCTGACTTTCGCAAAATCCAGTTTTAGAGGGCTGATGGTTCCAAAGAGTGCACTACTTGATGGTAAAATAGTCAGTCGTTGTGATTTGTTTTTAGGTGGCAACCTTGGGAAGTTAGTTACTCAACATGATTTAGTATCAGCCTGCGTTATGGATGAGTTACTGTAACAATGTTTTCTGGCAACTTTGAGGAGAAAGAATAAGTTGCACTTCACTATCGTTAGGCCTAGGCGTTCTTCATTAAGTCGCGTACACCTATCAGTGTATTTTCCTTGTAAGTTAAACTCTATGATGTGTTTTTTGAGGAGTTTCTAAGCACTTTAGACTTTACTGGTCTACTGACCATAAGCTACTATATAGGACGGCATGGTATCCAGTTCTTTTGGGAATGCATGTCTTGGAGTGTTGATGGAGTAGTAGTTGTTAATATCAGCTATATGTCCGTTTTTATGAATGGTCACCTCTCAAGACTTTTTGAAGCAAGTGTACTATGTCCCATCAAATAGGGAAATTGACTGTATTCACGGTCCTTGATGTTATATTCACCGTACCGGTAAATGTTTACTTATTTAATAATCTTTAAAAATTTTGTAATACATCCACTTCAACTCTACCCCTTAATACATCATTTTCATTATCTTTATTCTTATCATATTTGCATTGACTGAACCATTTCTAGTCCCCCATGATGCCGTTTTCCATAATATAAAGACGACTGAACAGTTAGCTTGAAATCGAAGTCATTCAAAATAAATATTTGTTCGGTGAACATAAACTGTTTTTCCGTATAAATTGAATATAGCATGAGCAATAGTAGATTCACGTCTTTACCACTGTTTTACTACTGAATGAACTGGGAGTGTTAGTAAGCTTGAGAGTTCTGACAGATGTGTTGACCTCTTGTATGGTGAAAAGTATGTCACTTGCATATTCGTCTGTCATACGAAGGAAATCCACAGCCTGGTTGTTCTCCATCGTGTAAAGTCAGAAAGAGAGCGCGCCAAACAGTTCAAATATACCTTCGGTACTCTCGTGAACAATCCCGGCTCAGTGTTCTACTTTTGGGTATGCTGTTTTGGAGTTCGTTAACCTACTTTTGTGAAGTTTGGCTATTTCTCCTTTGTTATGACATGCCTGGATGGCCCGGATTTTTTTGTTCCTAAGGCTTATTGTTTTCAGCTCCTTAATTTTAGTGAGAACGGACGTGATAGAAATGAATGCGCATATGTTATGATACCTGCAGTATTTTAATCAGTGCTCTCGTAAACTTCTCCTTGAAGGTGTCGGGATATAATCGCTTTGGGGAAATTTGAAGCAAAGGTGCAGTGATGTCATCAACTGACCTTATTTTGTGATAGTTGTTAAGATCTCTATAAGGACTCATTCGTAGAGTGCGAGTCCCAGTTACATCATCTAATTAAATGCTGAAATTCCAGTCAGCATGTGTGTACAGTTTTACAGGTGTCCTACCATCTCCATCTCCGAATACTGTTTCACGAAAAATATTCAACGAACTAGCCACCATTTCATGATCTCTACCTAGAAACTCGTGTCCCGCATGCATTGTAAATGGTGGTGTCATTCGTCAATATAAAATATAGGATTTATGAGAATCTAGTGTGTGAATTTAAGTGTTGCATCCACTCTCGTATGACAACAGAATTCAGAAGATTATCATATTCCGGGGGTCCTGGAATTGAAAGCCATTATGCTTCTTGCATGTTGAAATCACCTTCATTAATTTTGTAACCGAGAGGAACATTGGCTGCAGCATTAAAAATGCTGCTAAGTGTGTTATCACAGTCCTGACTGGATGACGGGAGTCGGTACACACAACCTATAAATATAGGTATACTTCTGATAAATTTTATTTCGGCCTACATCAAGCCAATGAGTTGTCACAGAATTGGGTTTCCGAACTCAGTTGCACATATGGATTGTTCAACATAAATTAATGTTCCACCCCAACGGTCTGTCTCTCTACCCGCTCGAAAAACCTGGTAGTTATCACTCCTTTGGCTACATTTAGTTATTTCACTTGTGCGGCAGCTTTGAATGGTCATAATCAACGATGGTTTGCATATGGAAGCTAATTTACTAAATGTTTACTACTTGTTTGGAACTAATCTAGTATCTCTGACGATGATAGGTAGGTTCTGGCCACATAGTTGACGCACGTGGACAAAATCGTGATAAAATACTCTCGATCTATCATCTGTACACATGCAGTTGTTTTTAAACTTGCCAAACATCACCTTCCGATCGGTGGAAAGCTTTTGGTAAGCTTGATAATTATATGCAGGTTACCAGATGACAGTCAGAGGCAGTAAGTGTTTCGGGTGGGGTATGCCATGAGATATACATGTATTTGTCAAAAATATCGGTACCCGCGTTGGGTGCCGATAGTGTGTCAGATTTCTTCCAGAAAATATGTCGTGTCCTACCTGTAAGCTGTTCGCCATGCGAGCAATTAATTCATTTGACACCATACATGTTACATGCATGATCCCTGGTGTTTTTATTGATTGACATCAGTGAAAATTGTGCTCATTGGAGCAAGTTTGACCAATGCTGTTCTCGAAGTTGTAACCGAAATTGATATTCGGTTAGCTGTTGCCATAATTGGAATGAAGTCTTGGTAACTGGTTGATGAAGTTACCAGACCATTGTAAGTTTTATGAGGAGATAGGCATATGCTTCTTACTGAACACATGAGGCGTATGAATGGATTCCCCGAACCTATTTAAATTACTTAATGTAGGCTGTAACCAGTGCTTCATGATTTCCTATCATACCTGGTTGAGAGAAAATTTATAAGGGGCTGGGTTTGCACAATGAATGAGCACAGAAACATTCACTACCTTGTTTTGTTGTTTGGCTATTAGTGGTTGGGTTCGCACTTAAGAACGTTTAAGTCTAACTATAGAAGCTTGATCTAATTTAGTTAGCTTTCTGTTAGTGAGATATGCTAGAGTTCCATGTATATCTACCATATTATTGGGTTATGAACTTTAATTTAGGTGTTTCCTTGCTTAGATATTCCTGTATAATGATGGCTAACATGGCAGGTAGCACATTTTATAGAAGGGTTCTGTCGGTTAGACACCACACACTTTTATTCATCCTTTAGACATGGGACGCTCATTATGCCGCCTAGGAAACTTGAAAGTTTGGGCAGCCACATGGATCTCATGCTTCTCAGTCGATGGAGGAGTGAAAGACTTCAAGGTCGGGGAAAGAATACGAATGGGGTGGGTTTTGAAGTTTTCAGGCTCTTAGTGTTCGTAACAGTGTACAAAGGGTGAATTTCAGGATTATTTTCTGTCAAATTACCCGTGTCTGCTATTTCAGTATCTACAGTCATGTCTTTGCATGTTACTCAACTGGTGTTTGTTTGTGTATGCGGAAATGACTGGTGTGCCTGGTCACCAGGTTAATCATTAGACGGCGTATTGTGCGAAACATAGTTGAAAGTCATCCTTTTAGTGTTATAAGCATTTAGTTTTCTTCATCAGCATTTTCTTTTGCATGTCGTTAAGTTAGGCGCAGCCCTATGTTCATATAAGTTGCTGAACGGCCAGTTACCTCACTTGACACAAGAAAATTCTTAGCCTCTTCAACATACTAAAACTTGGAAAGAACTAGGCATGAGTGGACCGCAAATTTCTTACGAAGATTCAAAACCCAACAATGTTGGTGACACACTACGAGCCTGCAGACATGAAGTTTCAGGCTTAGTAATAAGCCCTCTGTCTGGATTTTTACAAGGCGAGGCATTATGTGAGGACATGATTCTCTCAGCAGCCGCTGCAGCCTAACAGTCCAGTAACCGCTCAGATATGAGTAGTGATTCTAGGCAAAGATCTTGTAATGAGTTACACAAGTGGGTAAAAGGCTCACTACTATTAAATTTTTCTGTAATTCTGCTATGGATTACTGAATTACCAGTACACGACTTTTGCTATAAGCCTCAGTAACAATCAGTTCCTCCATTGGGTTGGACACTTGGGGTGTGTCTATTGATGGAAGCTTAGAGTTATCAGAGGGTCTGAGTGATTTAGATAACTGCCGGATATTAGATGCCAATCTCTTCATAGTACTTACGCGTTTGAAAGACTTAATTATTATATAAACAATGATTACTGTGATTTCTAAAAAAGACTTAGGGACATGAAAATACTGTTGTATTATTAATCTAAGAAAAACAACAATAAATAGGTATGAATAGATAAATAAAGTCGGGTTTTCCCGTATCTGTATTTCGTGAGGCAAAAATCCTTTGATTCCAATTGATAAGAAAGTGTATCAGAAAATTAGGGGTGGAGGATTCTGAAAGTGAATACTGCGTATAGTCAAAGGTAATAAAATTCACTCCTCATTAATTATAGATATGTGGATGTTAAGCGAATCGTGACTGATTTCCAAGATAATTTTCAAAAGAGATTCATGGGGGAAACACTACACCAAACAGTTATTATATGGAACACATATTTATCATCCTGCAGAACAATCAGTGCATTCTTGCCTAGGAAAGATGTATGGTGACTTTCATTATCTAAGTCGATTTTTCGGTTGAATGTACGCAGTCAAGCGTCCAGGTCATTTGGCAGTCTGTCATGTTACACTTGATTGCTCGTGCACTTACCCTTTCTAGTTAGACAACCATCGTTGCTATACACTTCCGATCCCAAAATGTATTTGTTATTTTTGACGAAAAGTTTGGTGTTTCGTTTTTTCTCTGACCTCAGTATTACAGGATAGAAAAACGAATCTATAGATGACGTATATCGTGTGGATATCGAAACCCCTCATCTGTTATAATATTCTTAAGGTTTTGAATAAAGAATTTAAACATGTAGATTCTGTATGCAGCCTAACTCCAATGGAGTTACAACTATGTGAAGACTTTAGTGTCTCTTAATATCATGGTCAGCCTGAGTGAACAGTGTTTTTCTATTCTTAGGCTGATTTTCCAACTGGAATTCACATAAAAGAAATGTTTAGACCATGAAAAAGATGCGTAGATAGAGTGCCGTATGTCTGGAGTCTGGTCAAAATGGTTCTCTGCACTAATTAAGATGAAGGGCATTGCCATAAAATACAAACATCGTGAATGACAAGAACGTACATCAGACTAACACGATCTTCGGTAGGTATATTAAAGCAGAAGAAAGCCTTAGATCTAGTAGGAGCTCATTACAGTAGAGGTATTGCTTAGTAAATAAGCTACTCAACTAAACCTAAGATACTTTCGTTGTCACATTGCAAATTCACGCTACTCTACAAAAAATCATTATTTTGTGAAGTACCAACTGACATCCTCTTTCTGCCTCCCTTCCGAGTCAGAATATCTCAGAATACATAACAGAAGAGTTTCTAAAACAAAAAGTAACATTATCACTGTGCAGTAGTAGTCCTCTCAACGCGTCATAAATTCTTGAAGACGATTGCATGAGGAAGTGGTTTCTACACACTTAATCGACATGCCTAAGAGGAGATCAAACCACCAAAGGTGCTAATTCGGATTAATACAGGCTCAAAGTTTTCTATTTCAATTAAAAATGAGTAATCTGAATCTTAACTCCAAGTGTTCAATGCGAGCGGGTCTTACAACTGTCACTCAGTACACGTTAGCGTTACGCGTAATCAAATTATGGGTGGCACTGCTAGCTCTCCGATCCCTGGTGGTGGAACATCTGGGTATCACGTCTTGCGGGTAAGCAGCTTCTTACCAAATATCCTCCAAATCTGTGGTTGCACATAATATTAACGAAGTAAAACATTGTGGATAATATTACCCACCTTCAGATTTACATATTTATTTATCAGTATTCAATATCGATTACTAAAAGTGTTTTGAGAGTTTTAGAAGTACATTTCCTGGGTAATTACTGGATGAAGAATACACTTGAGGTAGTGGAAACGATGAGACACTGAGAAAAATATCACCATTGCCTTTAAGCAGAAGTATTAAAATAAGCTTCTTCCTCAACATGTATTAACATGTATATATTAACATGTATTAAGAAAGAATGATTTTCCCTAAGCTGTGAAATTTGATTGTGAACTTTCCATCATCAGCCTTGGTGACATTCATCAATCACTTTACTCATGAGTACACCACTTTAATTTTTCGAGTGAATCGGTGGCACTACAAGTAATACCATTTAATTTTGAGACAGAACTTTGGTTTCTCTTAATCTTACCTGATTCGAAATGAAATATGAATACTGGACCTTCAAATCCCACTGTGTGGGAAAGACTTTTGCATCATAAATTATTTGGGGCATTTCAAGTTTACATTTTCTCAGAAATTATTGAAAAGGGATGAGAAAGCTGGCTGATATACAAGTCAGTCTATATTATATCCCTATTACCTTGGGCTCTGGGTGGAACATAGGGCTTCAGGAATACATCACTTTGTTCTATTTTCTGCCGTCCTCTTCGGCTGTGTCCACGATTGACCATACTCTCTCATCTCTTACTCGCACGGCCTCTTCAATGTTACCCTCGCACTGACTATCCACTCGTCGCTTCTCATTTGGATTCCACTCGAGGGCCTAGCGCGCGATGTCATGCGACGGTCTACTCAATATATGCTCGATTCACCTCCATTTTCTCTTACATATTACAAATCAGCTTACGATAACCTTTTGTAATCCCATTGAACCACTCAACGACTTACTATCAGAATAAAAGCAAGCCAATCTAGGCTATGACGGGTGAAGTGTATATGGTACATCGAAATCCATAGTAGTATATGCCTATGCAGTTTACTTTGCTATTATAGTTACTCTTAAACGATTCAGGACTTGCAGTTTTGTGGAACTTCCGGGAGAAACGAATTCTAAGTGAAGACAGTAAGATACTCTCCTTGTGGGATTGACTTCATCTCCTAGCCACACCATAAAATTAATTTTAGGTGATTTTTAGTTTCCCGGGTTAGAATTTCTAATATATTTTAGATAACTGGGGAGAATCATGATCCGTGAAAAAATGTGTGTAACTGACTGGTACATAAGATGTCTGCCTCAGGTGACTGTATTCTAACTAAATCGTAGGGTACTACGAAACAATTTCGATCAATTGACATGTTGAAACAAAAACTTCCACACAAGTATTAATGTATTACCTTAAAGCATTGATTACTGACCCAAGTTACCCGGCCCCATAGTTGCACATCAGTTGGGTGATAAATAAAAAGACAGAAAAGGAATTAATACAGTCGGTGATAGACTGTTTTAAAACCAATGAGAAACAACCAATTGTAACTACGGTGAAGATTAAATATGAATGCCGTTAAACTCGTTAGTTATGTGTCTGTGGTTAAGCAGGCCCAAACTAGATAACCTATTTGTGTATTCTTAACCCATACGAGTAGCCATTTACTTTATAGACGGGCCCATATGTTCTTATGGTAACCCTTAATTTCCTTTCAACTTTCTTCTATCTTTACTAACATGGAGCGTCGAAATATATGGAAAGTAAACGTACATAATTTGTCTTGAAAATTTCAGATGGATATTTACGTCTTAATCGACTAACTTGACGTCTTAATTTAAACTTCATTACTAACTTATACTTTTTTCACATGGTGGTGCTCTTACATGTAGAAAACTTTGAAAACGTACCTATAATCATATAAATGAATTCAACACAAACCTACTTTCAATGACCATGTTTTTCGTATCCATCGACTAGATTATTTGATCCTTAGCATGCAAGATATCTTTTCAAATATTCCAATTTTGTGGTAAAATAAAAATGATATGACCACTCGAAAAGATATAGGACTTGGGAGCAGTGTGAACTCCTATCGGTCTTAGGACTATATCGATAGAGATCCAATGATTTTTTAGTAAGTTCTCATCGAAATTATGGGCACGTGTTTGTTCTCATATAACATTCTCTATGCACATACACCTTTTATTTTTTATATCAACCTATTTTTATTCAAAACCTTCGCTGTGTGTTTAAATGTGGTATTTTCAACTGATGTACAGTGATCTATCAGCCCAATTGTATCTAGTTATTCTGTTGATAGTATTGCAGCAGACCTAACTTAGATTTGGTTATTTTTTCTAGGGAGATACAGATGGCAAAAATACAGTTCTTAAAGATAAAGTTTTCTCGAATTCCTTATAAGCTAATGGGATCACTTCGATATAATCATATATGTTTGTTACATTTGGTGTTGAATTCTTCATACTCTTGCATACAAACGAATTTCGACACATGGTTGTTGGGAAAACCCTAGGAAAGTTATTCACATATTCTTTGGTAATTTACGAAACTTATTGAACCTAAATTTAGATTATTTTATCCTAATATATTTTCCTGTGTAGTTCATTTTGAATCTAATTAACCAAAATTATATGCGTATTTGTGTATTTCAGTATCACAGGAAGCAAACACTAGTTTTACAGTTGTAAACTTTCATCGATAGTTAACTTGAAGTGAATTTTGTTTCAGTATAAAATAGTGTTAAGACCAACCTCAAAAACATGTGTGCTTGCTCATTATATCTAATGAAAAGTTATGAAAATTTCTTTATTTGTAGGTCCAGGAAGGCTCACCTGGTCACCAAGCTGGTTTGGAAGCATTTTTTGATTTTATTGTGGCAATAGGAGATAAACGCCTGGTATGTGGATTATTTTTATTTTTACAATCGTTAGATCAACATTATTTTCGGTTGCATTTTACCTCATTTTTGGTCATCGGGCTCCAAAAGTACACGATTTGGTACTCATAGGAAAAATAGGATATATTGTGTCAGGCTGACAGATAAAAAGGATATAGTTGATTTGCCGTTAGTCTATTGTTACTGAGTTCAGGTGTTAGTTTGTAAGTAAAACCACCAAATTTCTGAAGTCTACTAGGGTTTCTTCTTGATCTGATTAAACACAAATAAAAGTGTTGAGCACTAGTCTCCTGAGAATCAGGTCTTACATTTATTTATTAGAAAATCATCAACCTCTAATCACCTGTTTGTTGTCTAATAATCCCGTCAGTTTGATTTCACTTTATTTTTTGTGCAGGTGGTAAGATTGTCAGGAAACATATTATATAGATATAATCCGATTAACCTTATATTAGTCTTTTTGAGTGCAGGCAAATAGTTATTTATACATCTTAAACACTAATCGCCTGAGTATTTCGTATCCTGTTTGTAATCTAATTGATCAGCGTTCTATCCCCATTCGATTGCCTACAACAGCTTTCCTAGTTTTATTTTACTGACTAATTCAGGTAACATGAAGCCGAGTACATCGCATTACCTAACTTTGACTTGGTTCCATTCATATATTGTGAACAACAAAATTAGTGAGATATCTGTGCGATTGTGAAGCATTTTGAGCCATAGCACCAATAGTTCGACTTCTGATTCTTGGTATTCTGAGGACTTCATTCAAGTTTACGCCCCCCGCACTATGTAGTACGCTACGCTTAACGTTGTTATTGACTCCATTGCTCCACCTAATACGAGAGACTGAATAAAGGCACTTGATGTCAGAAGCCTCTAAACTTCAACTGTCATGCCTCAGGCGTTAAGTAGAACGAAACGAGCTACTGCATAACGCTCATACCCTTAAAATAGATGAGCAAATGTTGCACTGGCACTGGCGATGAAATAACCTGGTAAATGCCAAACGAGCGTTCTGCACCTGTACTCAAATATCGTCAGTAATCAATCCATTTAGGCTGATGTAACTCCTTAAGTAAGTGAAGTTGTCAATACATTCAGTCCTTTCACCGAATATCCTAAATTGGGAGTCAGTTTAGATCATCTTACACTCAATAGGGCCTAACCTCAGCCTAAACTTACTTGGATTTCTGCACCAGGCGTTCAGATGTCTGTCTTGTCGGCCTCTTCACCTCAGAAGACAACGTCATCTACGTACGTTAGGTCAGCAAGACACTTCTTTGATGAGTCAGTCCCGGAAAAATCGAATTTAATCAGAGCACGTTAAATTTACGGGTTTACTGAATCGTGTTTATTGTTCCCTAGACCAATGTGAAGAGAACATGCATCTGTCTTATATTTTTTAGTTTCGAGTAGTATCAACTGAGGTTTTAAATCACTGATTTATACAAGTCATCACTAATAGTATTCTACGAGTAGCACTCGTAAACTCGTTTGCTATTGAATGCGCAAATACTAAATGTTTAAAGTACTATCATTTAATTAGTGTACTACCAAAATAAGTATAACCCTTCATTTAAGTAAATCAATTATTCCACTGTTGAACACAAAGACATCATATGCACTTCAAATTATTTGGTTGATTCTAAAACAGGAAATGGGTATCAAGACGTAGGCAGATAGATATAAGGATACATGTCTAGCGGAAAGGATCAATAACTGACATTCCCATAACACGACAGTCAATTCACGGGTTGTGCTTCCATTGTTATATATTTGTGATTCATTATGGTTTCATACTACAGAACTGATTATTAGCTTTCGACGAAGGCGTTAGCCATTTTAAGATTGAAATGTAACCGGATAGGTTAGTTTTAATGTTTACTTATTTTTATTTTGCCATTTAGGAAGAAGATAATGACTGTATCAAAGACTTGCTACAAGCTAATAAAGACAGACCTGTTCGCTTAGTTGTCTATTCAACCAAATCACAAGCCTGTCGTGAAGTAACCTTGATACCAAATAATCACTGGGGTGGTCAAGGTCTTATGGGTGTTAGTATTCGATATTGTTCATTTGACAGAGCAAATGAAAATGTATGGCATGTGTTGGATGTTGAGCCTAAATCACCAGCAGAAATGGCTGGTTTAAAACCATATACAGACTACATTATTGGTGCAAATTCAGTTTTAAATAGTGTAAGCTTTTCTTTTTTTGTCATTTGTTCGTGAAATCTTTTAATTAATATTGAATATTTTGGAAGAAATATCTTCAGTTCCCATGCTAGCAAGAAACGCCCTTTAATAGAGTGTTAGCTTAATGGTCTAAGCATTTATTCCTCATGCATTGATTTACACGTTCTAAATTGACCCGCACTTTAAGTAAGTTACCATTTCTTTACATTTACGTCATGCAACTTTGCTTCGTTCCAGCTCAGAGGTTTATTGATTATAATGTTGTCAGTGAACTGATAAATGGTAAATCGAGAGATACTCAGAGTTGATTGATTCTTGAGGTACCTCAAACAGAAAGAGATTTAGTGTTGCGTGACCGTAGTGCCCAGGGGACAACTGCTTGAGGCCGGTCACAAACGGCCTGTATGAACTGGTTTCTTGGATTGGTTCCGTACTAGAAACTTACCGCCGGTTACGGACCACCTTAGGGTAAGTCGGGATGTACAATTTTTGGAGTCGACCTTTCCTAAACCCGTCTCCAGAGTGGGAAGACAACATAGCTGGTATGCTGGTCGTCGGACGGAAACACCTTACTGCTGTTACATCCCCGTTCTCCAGCAGTACGACTTCGCCCACAGACCCGCAGCATAGTGTAAAAAAATCTTACACTATACCGGTAACTGCTTTTAGTCTAACTGCTATCCTAACAACCTTCCTGGCATGGTAGGACCTGCAGGAGCATAAGTGTAGCTTGTTGGATCATTGCGGTATGCAAGCCCGACCGCCACGTCAAGGTAGCAGTTATCTATCGGGAGGAGTATGAGTTTAATAACCTTTAACTATATATATATATATATATATATATATATATATATATATATATATATATTACGCATCAATTCCCTGATGTAGTTCACGTTATTCTATTGTGTTTGTTTTAGACGGATGAGTTGGTTTATGACATCTAGTTTAACACAGCACAAAATGATACAAGAAAGTCGTGTTTCATAGAAGAGTGGCTGCATACAATTTATTAGCTATTAAAGTCATTACTACCGTTTCTCTTGAAGGTAACTCAATCACTGCAGACAAAAAAAATAGTGGAATCATGGCTCACTATCGTAGACACTAAACTTCCGACTAACTTACTAGGTTTTCTAGACCTGTTCTAATAAGTTGATTTTGATTTTATTTTGATTTTGATTTACAGCTTGATTCCACACCGTATTTTCAGTACAAGTGTGGAATTTTCAGCATGGATATCGGTAGCCCAAATTCAGGCTGACCATAGATATCAGGTGTGCGTCGGCAGGGGATCGAACCCCGGACCATGTGCATGGTCGGCGAGAGTGCTAACCACTGTGCCACCGACGCACATGTGGTTCACAGATGAGCACATAAGCATGCATAGGATCACTAAGTTGATCATACAAATATTGCTCATTTGACAATTAGATATCTGAGTCTAATGCTAATTCGAGTGTTTCTGCTCTGCCCTTTCGCGTAAGACAACGTCTTTTCATGTCTGGCACAGTATGGCATATCTCTCAACCTAAGCTTACTGAATGAAGCATTTGATTGCTCTTTTTGTATTTAAAAGAACCTGCGAGTTCATCAGGTTTTATTTGATTTAGCTAGCATATATACCAGAATCAAGATGTGCATAATGCATTATGAATTGATGGCATGACCTAGTCCCCTCCTTGTCATAACGCCCCTAAAACCGTCAGTTGCAGAAGTTACATTTAAAAGCCTAGTAATTTGCTGCCTAAACAGTAAACAGGCATGTCGCTCACTAAAGTAATTGCGTAACCCAGGGTTTTTCAACATCTGCATTTTGCTAAATCTCTTTTGTCTCTCTTGAATGTCCTCCATTCAGGAGCTCTAGGGGATGTAATGTTTCATCTGCAAGGAGCGGAGTGATTTTTCAGGTCCGGAAAACTAAAATACTTCATTGATCAGTTATGGACAACTTAGAAATGTCTAGTTTACCTGTCTTTTATAATGCTATACAGGGCATCACATAACACATTAGGGAGGAGTATTGGAAAGATTGGCAAACAGAGTTGGGAGCAAGTATACATTTATGTCAGTTTCGTCAATATACTTTCTAGAAGTGTTTATAATACGCTTATATATTGATAGTTAACTCCTGGATGACCGTGTCCATCCTCAAATAGACGTGATGCTGTTTTCCACAATAAACACTTTATAAAGGTTTATTCAAATTTTTGTTAAAAAAACAAACACTGAAAATTGTGAAATTTGCTTAATTCATATTCATTTTAACTCACTAATGTAAGTGGTTGATACCATAAGGACTGCGACAGTCTACAATTTTGAGGCTTCCTGATTTACTATTGTATTACTGTGTAAGTGAGTTGATTTTTTCATGCCATTGTCAGAATGTCTAATTCTTTTTGACGACCATGTTATGCGATCACTTCTTAGAGTGTTGGTTTTCTTATTAAAAATACAATACTAACTCTTTTAGATTTCAAGTGGTTATTCATAAATTCCTGCTTACCATATTATCGGTATTTTTCCCCCTATTTTACATATCAAGAGAGATGACTTTTTCGATCTGATTGATGCTTCTGATGGTCATGTAATTCAACTATACGTCTACAATTCCGAATCAGATTCATGCCGTGAAATACACCTGAAACCTGATTCTAATTGGGGTGGAAATGGTTTACTCGGCTGTGATATTGGTTATGGTTATCTGCATCGTATCCCAACAACAGGAGCACCGCCTGTTCCTCCTCCACCACAGTCACAAAGTGATACTGCACACCAGCCTCAAGAATTCACAAAACCGCCGGTTGAAAACTCAAATATGCCAACAGTATCATCGGAACAGACTGTAAATGGAGTTTCTGCTCCATATTGTCCTCCACCTCCTTATTCGTCGTTTAACACTACAGCGTCGAATACATTTTCTGAGGTAAATTCTATACGTACAATTTTATTGTAAACTATCCTATTCTTACTATTTTTTTTGTGACTCTTTTATCAAGTGTTGGATTGATTTTAAAAACATACAGTCCATGTTTACCTATTAACAATTAATATGCCTCACTAGTGTTGAAATATTACTATACAGTAAAACAGTAATCTCACATTTCATTTCCACAGTGTTACTGATATTCGCTTATTGAATGTAACATGAAGTGAAACAATATTATCCTCTGAAATTACATTTCGAACAATGTGCATTGTTTTTAATCATATCAAATATATTTTTGTTGACATCCAGCTATGATATATACAACATATATTAATTAGTTCGATCACGAACTAAATTCAGCTGGAAAACCATTGAAAAGCAGGGAGTAGTCAACAGATATCTCGTCTCAGTTGGGGACTCTTCAATGGCACGCACCCGTGACGCCATCAGGGATTGAATCCAAAATCGTCAGGTTACGAGGTGACCTCGTTGACCATTCAACCACTGGGACAGGACCCAGTGGCTCATGAGTCCCAACCTCTACGAATTCGCAGCGAATAACGCCAGTCAATGTCATCGGTGAGTCTCTGTCCTCACACTGTCACTCCTCTGGTCACGAATTCCGGTTAGAACTTTGAGGCAACTTCATCGTGTAGTCAGTCACTAATGGGCACTAGATTACTTTTCAAGTGTTGGTTTGTAGGGATTTGATTGATATCAAGTATGATCCATAAACTGACTTCATTTGGAGGACCAGTACTCCCTGGGTTTCAGTGTTTCTCTTAATGAATTCGGTTCGTCATCAAACTTAAAATCAATCAAATCCCTGCCAAAGTAATATTAAATAGGTATACTTCGGATTTCCATGGTAACCCACTCTTTTGGTATTTTGTTTATTAGACGAATATTCTACTCAAAACATTACTCAACCATTGATATGTTCAAATGAGTTTAGATGATGTAATTTCAACGATCTAGAACACTAAGTCACAAGGCTTTTGTGAGAGTGGATCATGTCGGTCCAAAGATAAATAGTTTAATCTAATTTTTATATCACTATGTAATGACCGTGTCTGTTGATCTATAAGATTGTGTTTTCCATAAGCGACCTGGGTGAGAAGACTTCGGTCTTCCTCTCGAAATGCTCCTGAGTTACCACACGTTCATAGCCTTTGCCAGGTAAGTGATATTCACGCCTCCACGCTGCTGGGGTGTTTCCCACAAAAGTGAAAGGCCGAATTCGAACGTCTGGAGCTTACAACAGGACTGGTGGATATCCTGGTCTACCTAGGGGAACTAGAAAACCCTGATTCCAAACCTATAGTGTACATGAACCGCAGAACCCGAAGCATCGAATGGGATATGAACCGGCATTGTTCACTGACAACCAGAGGAAGGTAGTTCGTGACGCTGCTTCACTGGCTTGTGTATCAGACTGCAAGGCAAAGACTTGTGGGGCGTGTTTGTCCCTTTAAAATACCACCTGCCTTGGTTTGTGTGTGTTCAGGCAGTATCCAAGCCCTCGTCCAAACTACGTGACTTAGTGTGGTGCATCTCTCAATGCCCATTCTGTGCAGAGTTTGTGTTCTAATAATTAATTGATTATTGCTTGCTGTCAATTGATGTAAGATATTAGTACAAAAACGATCTCGTTTCCCATGAAAAATATTCTTGCATAAACGTGTAAAGTCAGATTTGTTAAATAAAGTCTAGTAAGGTAGGTAGGTATACACTGGCGTAATAATTATTTGCCATTTTTTCTCATCGTTTTACCAACTCACCACTATATGTCAAAAAGCGCGCAATATTTAAATAAAGCATTTAAATGAAATCATCTGTCAAAAAGTATATCGTTTCAAGCCTTATCCGAATACTTTAGTAGTTATTCAGCATTAATTATCTGTCAAATATTAATTAATGATAAATAAAATGAAAAGTTGACCTTTAATAAATAGACAGAGATTACTATAATACAGAACTTCATATTACCGCATAGACTAGTAACATCATTATTGCAATAGTTATTCTATTTCACCATGACATTTTGTATCTGTAAACTTCATACGCATCTCATTTAAAGCACAATTACGGTTTTATATTTTCACCTGTAAATGCGTTTGAGTAAGTTTTTCCACTTCTCAAAGGGTAGACATTATTTTAATTTTATTATTATAATAAAAAACAAACTTGGTACATTATGAGCACTAAGGGATGCGCTACACAAAATCTCATAATTTTTGCGATGGCTGGGATATTGTCGGTACACCCAGACTGAAGCAGGTGGTTCTTCTAAGGGGTCACTCCTCGCAAGCATTTGACTTGAAGTCTGCTATACACAGGGTAGCGGAGCAGAATCAGGAACTACATTTCAATAGCGCTATATGAAAGGAAAGGCGTTCAGCGAAGAGTTAATCTTTTTGGCGATATCAGTTTCAAGCTGTACAATCGCATATTTATAGCAAATTGTCTTAGCTTGAGAATGTTATCGCCGAAAAGCGTAACTCTCCACTGAACTTCGTTTCTTTTATATGAAACAATAGGGATTTTCAAATTGCCATAGCTGTTGGTTACGGAAACAGGTTCATACGCCATACGACCCGTTTGGATTCTGGAGTTCATGTACACCACAAGTTTGGAATCAGTGTTTTCCAGCTCCTCTAGGTAGATAAGGATGTCCATCAGTCCGATTGTAAGTGCCAGACGTTCGAATTCGGCCTTTCACTTCTGTGAAGAACACCGTAGCCGCGTGAATATGAATTACCTGGCGATTCGAGAGGAAGACTGAAGTTGTCACACCTTCAGCAGTGCCCGATCCTTTATGCCGGATCGTTTATGGGAAATAACCAGGAATTACTGAACAGCTGTTTTGTTTTAGTTTTGGACTCTTCAGTAGTATGAATCCACAGCTTCATCAGGAATCGAACTCATAACCTTGAGTGTACGAGGCGAGCACTTTAACCATTGAGGCATTGGGTTAGACTAGGAGATTGTTGTGAATTCAATGAGATAGAACTAGTTGATCGTAATAACTCGAAGGCCTGTCACTGCGTCCTCTAAGGAATAAAGAAAACGGTGGATTAACAACAATACAAGAAATGAGCAAATACTGAGATCATTCAGTTATAAAAGTGGAATATGCAAACTACATTAGATCGCACAACGTTCATTTACTTTCTAACCACTTTACTTTATTATGCTTTGTCTTAATTCTGTCATGATCGCGACTGGAATAGTTGCTCTGCCTCCAACCTAAGTTGACTGTCATATGTTAGAACTGCTAAAAGGTAATTGAATAACATTTTTACTAAGAGCTTCATTCGACCAAAGAACAATATATGTGCCACTACCATTTGGTAATAGCGAGTTTAGGCCTGGATTGTCTAGCAGAAAGAGGAAGTCAGTCGACAAGGGTAGGAAACTCCACCAACTGAAGTGACCAGACCGCATACTACATATACCGAGCCACCTCGTCCTCTTCCACGGGCGATGTTAGCTGAAGTCAGCTTGGGTTGAAAAAGAGTTAGGAGTGGTTAGAATGAGACATGGCACTAGTCTATGAAGTCAGTGCCGATGTAGACAGTTGTTTCCTTCCTGGCTGGAGTCTTGAGGATGTTGAGAATCAATGACCGGAAACTGCCGGTTATATAACTCAAAATGATTCACGATAACGAAGACATACTCAATCCCTATTATCATCTGGATTCTCAAAAGTCTCATCAATCTTCTTTTCAGTACCTTCTTCTTGTACATACTCGTCTCCGCTGGTTTAATTATATTCCTCTCATTTCTTGCCCTTTTCCAAAGCGTGGCAACTTGTACTGATTTACTTTTGTATGAATAAAGTTTACGCTGATAAGTTAATCGCGGTTTCACTCGACATTGAAGATAAATAGAAACATTAAAGAAAATGATTTATGCTGTACAACTTATGCAAAACTATAATTCAGTCTGTTATTTTTTCAAGAATCGAAATAGTATTCTATAAACGTAATGGTCTAATATTTGGCCCAAAATGGTTGTGCAGTTAAACTTATTTACTCACTGTCTTAATTTCATTATTGATCAGGTAAATGTAAAGCTGTCATCTTTTATCATTGTTCAATTTATGTAGGTTCCATTAGTTTCAACAATATCGTCTTCATCATCACCTCTCCCACCGCCAATACAACCACAATCACAGCCTACGGTCCATCCATTCCAAGCTCCCGTCAGCAGTACAAATTATTTCAACCATTCCTATGCTTCTGTGCCACCACCATCAGCTTATATGCAAGCATCAAATATTCCTCCTCCTGCACCTCTTCCTGCCGGGTTGACAAATATGTTCCCTATGCAACCACCACCACCACCAGTAAGTTCAACTGGAGAACAACCTGCCTTCTCACCGGAGACACCACTGATTTCTTTTGGACCCACAACAAATGGTGATAATGCGCAGCAGCAGCAGTACAATACACAATTTAATATGCCGCAAATGACAAGTGCTCGATACTTTAATCCTATGAATGATAATCTACCCTCGTCAACAGTAATCTCACTACCTGGAATGCCTCCATTGGATGTAAAAATGCCCCCTTTAGAAAGTATGTCGTATCTTTTTGCTTTTTTTCTTTCAAAAAGCTTTCTTACGTTAATCGCTAAAACAATATCAATATTGGGCTTAATGATGTACAAATGATCTTCTCTCCCTGTTTAATTGTTATAATCGTGGAAAGCTACTCATCAAGATATTAAACAGAAAAGAACAAGTCGCTCACCAAAGATATCTCTTTGGCGATTTCATCCTCAAAAGCTGTACAATCGCATTTACATGCATAACTCATATTATCATTATCATTTAATTCAACACAGTAACGCAGGGCGATTAAAGGTGATAATAAATTTTAACTTGATATGAGAGTCTGAATGTACGAATATAGATCCTAAGGGGGTATAGAAACAAAATTACATAGGGTTAGAAAATAGTTGCATAATATGTAGTTTTTAAAGAAGACTGATGTTGACGGGATGTGTTTATGAGTCTGGACTTCAGGGAAGACTTAACAGCAAATATTCTAATGAGAAGAATCTCTAGTTCCCTTACTTATTCAGTGAAACGGGAACGAAATGGTATTTTGGTGTAAAGCACATGCTGGCATACGTGGTCTAACGCTGCGTGTGTCGGTGTCATGATCATGTCAGATGAATCGTGGTGCAAAGAAGACATTTCTTTCAGTAACGCTAAGAGTCATATTCTCTAGCCACCCACTACTTCTATGCTATGTGAAGGAAAAACTCCAGCATATGACCACTTTAATATGTATATATCAGTTCGCTTTCTCCTATTGAGCTAGGTACATAGGTCATCCTTTCGAAATGTGTTAGAGAAGACTACCCAGCATGACTGCCACTGAGACGGCACTGGTTCAAACAGAAGCGTCACAAATAAGCACCTATCACGGCATCTCAACTGACTCATCATTCAGAGTGATTTACAAAATCTACCAAAGGCAATGTTCTGCTGATTTCTTTGTACTGCAGGATCTGGAGCTATGTGTTCAACCTTTCTATTCACCATGGATTTAGTTCCGTTTAGATCTTAAGTTTTTTTCTTATTATTTCAACTCGGTAATATGCATATCCGTTTTACACCTGTCTTCGTCAAAAGCTATCTTGCATATTATGTAACTATTTTCTAACCCTACGTAATTTTGTTCTTATGCCCCTTGAGATCCACATTCACACCTTCAAACTCTCATATCAAGTTGAAAATTAGTATCACCTTTGGTGCCCCCTCGTCATTATGTTGATTGAAATAATGATTGTAGCTGTGTAGGGTTATGTGTATATAAATAAGATTGTACAGCTTTTGAAGATGAAATCGCCAAAACGATATCTTTAATGAGCTGCCCATTCTTTTCGCTCTGATTGTTATAAAACTAAACAGGCTAAAAGCCACCAAACTGTTTCAAATTGACACAAAACACTTCATCAGCATTAACAATTATCCAATTCTACTTACTGTTCAACTGGTCAAGAAACTAACGAGAAACTGCTTTGATATAACAGTAGTTTCGCGTATTCATATTTAAAATTAGATGAACATAAAAAGACTACAAGTGTTATGCAGATGTAATCAATTCAATGGTGTACTTACTGTGTTTTATGTCCACCAGAAGCAGACTTTATTTTTGTGAATATGTCTCTCTTTCAAACTGGGTCACATAATCCTCTAGTGCTAAGTGCCTTTAATTTCATTCTTTTAGCTAAAACTGTTTAGACCAGACTATTTTTACACGCATGCAATGCTATGAAGATTTGAGTCCTGTGTAATAATATATGGTGTTGGGTATTGCTGCATTTAAAAACAGCACCATTCAACTAAAAGTATCACAAAGCAAATTAGAAAATATAAAATATGTGATGTAGTAGAATTATCTAAGTATTAAATAAACTGACCGACTGGTTTCAACATAGACCTTTGTACAGAAGTGCAGTAGTTCGAATCGCCACATTCCATGAAGCACACAAAGCGGGACAAAAAGGGGGAAAGAGATTTGGAAGAACGATAATAAACGGAAATAGTGAGGGAGAAAGAATAGTAACGTAGGAAAACAATAGGGTGTTTTGGATAAGGCAGATCACAGAGAGTGGATGCTTCTGCGCTATTGAGAAAGATTTTAGGCCATATCACCAATTGTTTCCAGCCATTGGTGTTCTTACCATCCCGAGTACCCCAATCAGGTAGTCTGTACTTGCCCACTTGGCTGAAACTAAATGTTAACGATTTCATGGACTGATGCCATGTTTTCGTTTGACCACGAGTATCTCTTTTCCACTCTGATTGATCCTATGTCAACCATCATTGCCCATTGAGGAAGGCGATGGCTATGCATACGTCACACATGTCCTAGCCTTATCAATTGATGTAGCTTCAAAACCTCATCGACAGATTTCCCCTTTTTACCTAACGCTCGACGCCAAACGTCAATACTACTTACCCTATTATAGCAAGTAACACAAGGAATAGAATGCAAGCACCTGTGGGAAAAGACAGCTAGTCTTTTCATGTCTTTCACATCCAATGGCCATGTCCCGCAGCCATAAAGGAGGACGGAGCAAACTAATGAGCAGTGCATACGCTCTGTGATCAATAGCCGGATATCACGTCTGAACAGTTCACGTGAACAGACGTCTGAACTAAGCTGGAAAATGCCAGACGAGTCTTCTGTATCCTTGATGAGATTTCGTCAGCGATCAACCCGTTAGGGCTGTTGTAACTTCTCAAATAAGTGAGAATAAGGTCAGCATGCTCCACCTACCACTTCATTCCCTATCTTTAGGCTAGGAGTCCAGTCTTGTAGCATCATCTTACATTCGACAGGTGTAAATTGCATGCCAAACATTCGAAGATTGATGCTTAAAGTGTTCAGAAGACTCTACATTTTCATCAGCGTCTTTACCCACAATGACTATATCATCTGCATATTCTAAGTCAACAAGACTGTACCATGGTAAGAAGTCAATCCCTGAGTGACTGGAGTTTATTTGTATTAGTATTAAATAAACAGTTTTTTCTGTCACTAAATATTCACAATGTTCAGTTCAACAAATTAGAATTTCGGTAACACCGACTGAACTCCTTCCCACTTTTTTTTAATATTGCAGTCAACAACTGATAATGCTGTAAGTATATAGCTTAGAATTCATAATATTAAGAAGAAATTTATCTTTTGTATTATAGGAAGCACAATTAGAGATAAGTGAAACTAGGACTGCAATTGAATATTGACGTGTATTATCTTTGTTGGTTTTTTTAAAAATTCTTACTGTACATTTTATTTAGACAAGATATACATTGAATGCATTTTCTGCACGTGCAGCTAATAGTATTGAACACTACCGACTGGATCTTGAATACTTGATATTTTAGGTAGGCTAGAGGTGGTAGTCAAAGAGTAGTTTGAATGTACAGAAGTGTGAGTGTGTGTGCGTTTCTTTCCAGGATGTTGCAAGTTGAGTAGTAGATGAACTTTTGTGCAAAGTTTTACGTTCAATGGAAATGTGATAATCACTTAATACATTTCTTTTTATATGCAGTATATTGTGAGTGATATGAATGGTTCTTCTTTTATGGTTATTAACTGACATTGGATTAAGTTGGTTGGTTGGTATCGTCTGGTGATTAATACTCTGGGTTAGGTGTAGATTGCTCGACTGAGATGACTAGGACACGTGTTTTGTATGCCCCAAGCCATCGCCTTCCTCATCGAAATATATTACCTGACATGGGATTAGTTTGGTAGGTCAAACCAAAGAGTGACACCGACCCAGGAAGTCTTGTACTGTTAATTTGAGCCAGCTGGTTAAAGAGATTTAGACTACCTGGTTAGCACCGTCGAAACTCCTAAGAAGCAATGGCTTGAGACTGTTGGTGACATAACACAAAACCATTCTCAACAGCGTAAATGTATTCACTCCTCATGAACTCATAGATTCACCATTATTCTTTCACTGAAAGTGATATTACTTAAGCCGATGAGAAATACATTTCTACAGTTAGCGTTCCCCATAACTCGATGGTCAGGCTTTGCTGCTGATGTTGCTAATTGGCTTGCTGTTTTTTAATCCCTGTTCATCACCATAACAAATCGATGTGTCAGAGTGTACTTATTTTCTTTTCCTTTTGCAGGTCTTAATCTTTCTTCGAATCCCAGCTCGTAAAGCCTAAAACAAAACTTGTTTGGAAAACTATTTTATTCTGATTCAAGTGCTGTTGAACACAACACACACACAGAAGAAAAGAAACTTTTACCAAGTCAATGACACATTTATTTACCTAGGTGTATTGTGGTATACCATCCATCTACTGGAAAAAATGTGATAAAAAAGTAGTAACTTAAGGATTTTTTTTTATTGTTCACTTGTAACTTCCTTTGTTTTGTTCTGACCGGTTGATTTGTTTGTAAATTTATGCTTGTGTGTGCAGTCGATTAGTGACGCAATCAACACTATGTGTTTTGTGATACATCACTTTGTTTCCCTTCCTTTTTAAAGTGCCTCTCATTTCTCGGTGCTTTTTTAAACTGACGCACACTTAAGTTGAACACACAAACATTTTTCCCTATTAGGCACATTTTATTGTTGGTTGGGATAGTGCTAGTTACTGATTGTTGTCATTTATTATTATTATTATTTAATAATTTCTGTTCTTTTCTTCTTCTTCTTTACTTTGTGTAATATCGTTACTTCTGATTTATTTTGTAAGCAGTTATATCCCGTTTTAATTAATGCATTGTTGTTATACTCAGTTCAACTGTGGTTGTTTTTGCACTTTGGTTACCTGTGATCTGATAGGCATTGGCCTCTCTTCATCAATAATGTTTGGTGCTTTCATCCACAGACCTGTTTTAGGTATAATATACAGTGTACTTGATGAGTACTATGAAGTTGAAATGCAGAGAATTGTTTTAGACTGTTAGTTTAACTCGTCTTTCGTACTACAGTACAGATTCTGATGGGATATTAAAGGAGTTTTGATTGAACACTAGGTAGCAAACTAGTATTATGCGTCTAGTCCTTTGTTTGGTGTAGACTTGGTTTGCAATGTGACCACCATGCTAGGTGTCTCACCAGCACGGTGCAATCTGAATTGTTGTTAAGTGGTTGGAGGCAATCCAGCAGGATGCTTTAGACCTAGGTGGTGTGTTTGTTGGCACTCACCAGTTCAACAAGGCATATATGCAACCTTGAATGAACTCATGTCATTCATGAGTTTCGAAGCTGGGTCACTCAGAGGTGTAGTCAGAGACGTTACCACTGAGCTATGCGGGTTCTTTATTGACCTCCTATAGGGCTGCGTTGGATACATTGACTGGACACTAGTTAGCAACTAGTGTCATGCGTCTGGTCCTTTTTTTGGTGCAGACTGGGGATTTGTATCAGGATGGTGACAAAATCATCACCGAAACTATGAATTGGGTGGAACAGATAAGTGTAGTCTTAAACTGCTAACTGTTTGTATTCATTGCCAGAGATATGGCTTATTGGCTTAAGAACAGTACTTATAGCGACTGGATCTCGGGTTCGAGTCTCGTTAAGCCAAGTGAGTAATACAGTAATCCCTCACTCATATACTCTGGTACCGGGTAAATGAGTTCTGAATAACTAAATGAATGGAGAATTTGCCTTGAAATCTAAACTGTTCAGGTGTACATAACACGTACTATAGAATCAGTAGTCAGATATACAACTATAATATTGGATATTTGTTCTGTATGCAAATTTGAAAGTATTAGCACAATTGATTTTGGGATAATTTTACTCCACTAACATGGAAGACTTCAGTTTTCCTCTCGAAATGCTCTCAAGTGGCCACACAATCATAGCCTCTGCTAGGTAAGTCCTATTCACGCGGCTGAGGTGTTTTTAGCAAAGGTGAAGGGGCGAGTAGAGACGTCTGGCACTTACAACCGCAATTTTGGACATCCTTGTCTACTCAGAGGGGCTGAATGACTCTGAATTTAAATATACGGAGTGTATATGTGCTGCAGAATCTGAACGGATCGGATGGCATATGAATCTATTTCGGTCACCGGAAACCATGGGAATGTAGCTCGTGACGACTGCTTTGTGTATCAGACTTCCAGTCAAAGGCACGAGGGTGGCGTTCGGACAGTATCTCAGCCCTTGCACAAACTATGAGGTTTTGTGTAGAGCATCTCTTGGTGTACGAAGTATACGCTTTAATCAATCAAATAATTACGTCAATTTGTACTGAGTAAGGAAATTGTTATAATTTATTATTTTTTTTTGATACATAAAAATTGGAGAAACAGAAGTGCTGGTTTTTACAGTTCCTGGTGTTTATAAGATAGTCTTAATAGTTATATCCTTGCAGAGATAATAGCCAGATTTGTATTCTAACTGACCAGTTATGCAAATTGCTTCCCTGAAAGTCAGTGATTGTTTAGACCGAATGCTTAAGCATGCTTCAAGTACAAGTGTAATCAAAATCATCCAGCCACTGGAACGTTATCCAATGGTCCATCATTTTTAACTTCTGCCAGTTCGCGATATTTAGCGCAATCGACAGCTAATGTAATTGGTGAGTATTATCTGTCGTGCTACCCAACTTGGCGGACTCCACTGGTAACGACTTCCCCACTAGAACTCCAGGTATCTTCATCCTGTGTTCAGTCACGAATGATTAATCTTCAAGTGTTGGATTGATTAACTATTTAAAAGCATGGGAGTACTAGTTCTCCAAATGAATGACTACAAGACGACGTTGTCTGAAGTTCTAGTGGAAACTCGTGACCGGTGGAAGACAGAGATACTTACCGATAGCATTGGCCGGCAGTCACCACGCTACAATATCACGAATTGGCAGAAGTTAAATTGTTGGGCGATTAAATCCTGACTCATGATTGTATTAAGGTTAACAGTTTTGAAATGGTCGTCAAGGCTAGAAGAAAGCCAAAGATGCTGGCCAGCTACTTAGATAATCACTATGCATGTAGGCTTCAAAGGCTCAAGACAGGTCTATTTACTACGTTATGCAGGACACTCAGATGTGTTAGGGCTTCTTACTTCAAAATACTGTCTAAAAAATAAAGAATATTCTTTTTGATAACTTCTTCATCAGGTTCTACAGTTGCGTATCCATAATAATGAAAGAATTAGGGTTATTGACGAAATAAATGTTTAAATAACATCCAATCAATAATATCGATAGCATCTTTAAGTGTGGTAATATGCATCAACATAACACCATAAGAGATGGAGAAGGATTCTTCAATGCTGGATTTGTGGCCGGCGTGGACCAGGTGGTCTATTATCGAACTGTTGATGGTTTCCACTACACCTTCATTTAACCATAAGGGTAGATGTCCCCGAGTGAGCACGAAAAATCAATTTCCTAGAGCAGCGGGCAATATAACTCGCTCCAACGCAATCTCATTTGAATTAGTAGAGACAATTAGAAATGGCTAATCTAGGTACTTCATTCTCCAAATGAGGAATCACCATCGGTCGTGTAGAAAATAAGACTTGTAGTTTGTTAGCATTAAAAGTTCTTTGAAATGATTTTCTTAACTTCTTTGTATTAATTTCACTAGGTATATCGCCCATGAATTGCAGTCATATGTATAAAGGCTTCTAGTTTACGGATAGTGAATAGTCCTTTTCAACTTTCTTACTCATGTGTTTCCTAATGAACTATTCTGGATAATTCTTTTCAATTAGGGTGTCATATGCAATCCTTAGTTCATCTTCGATTACCTCTTCTGAGTATATAGCTCTAATCCTGTGGCTGAAGGTCTTTACTAGATTTCTTTTGTACTGGGGAGGAACGAAGCTATGAAAATGCGTATATTGTCCTGTCCATGTGCTTTTCCTATGCAAATTTCTGTTTAAGCTACCATCTGGTTTTCTTGTGAGGAGGACATCTCGGAAGGCGATTTTATTTTTGGATTCCTCTTCACACGTGAATTTCACAGCAGAATGTACTTCATTGAGTTGAGTGATTATTGTGTTCCTGTCCGAATCATCTTCACAAAGAATGAGGGTATGATCCATATATATATATATAGGGAATAAAATGAGAATTTCCTGATAAGGTTGTTCATAGGACCATTCTCTACTTTACTTAGAAAGACATCTGCCAACATGGGATCCAATGGGGGGCCTATTGCCATCCCTTCCACTTGTCTGTAAAATGTGCCATCAAATTTGAATATTTGCATTCATGGTACACGTTAATAACAATTCTTTTGATTTCATCCTGTTGCCTACAACGAAACAGACTGAATACAGTTTGAAACTGAGGCCAATATTTTAAAATCAAGTGTCTGAAATAATGAAATATGTACACTCCCATCATTTGATGATTTCATGCTTCAGTCTCTTTAATTCTTAATATTTCATTTTCCATCCAACAAAATTTCGAAGGCAAGTAAGTAAGTCACTAATGTGGTTAAAAATAGATGGTTTAAATAATATAAAATATCTTCCTTTTAGCGTGGATAAATATCACGTGTGTAAAGGTAGACGAAAAATACCAAGAAACAAACTTCGCATAAACCTTGATTTCAAGGAAGACTTAATCTGCAATATCCTTAGGAAAAGACTCTTCGCAGCAATGCTAAGTTTATACCGTTTTCCAATCGTTCACTAGTCTGCAGAAGCCTGAAAGATAAGATATCGCGCCTGACTACTTTTGTGTGTGCGTACCGGTTAGTCTTTCGGTGGAGCCAAGTATATTGCTCCATCAGCGCGTATCCTGCCAAAAATATTTCAAGAATACTATTCTGCACAGTTGCAGAAAGATAGCAGTGACTCCTCTGTAAGAAGTGCGACGATCAAAGGCCATGTTAACATTGGTCATTATTCTATCTCGACAAACGCCTCCTTCAAAGTAATCTACAAAGTGAAGAATAATCCGCGAAAGACAATACACTTTCGTTTCTTCTGTATTGCTCAGTCTCTGGAAATATGGATAGAGAAACCGGAGCTCTGCAGACGAAAGGAAATTATCCAGCTACTTCAATCATAGTAACAAGCATATGTTGATTTCTACTAACTTGATTCCTGATTGCTTTTTCTTCGAATCTTTACAACTTTTGTATTTCTTCTGAACTTTTACATAATATTGCGTCCATCCTAGTTAGAACTCATTCATTAAATTGTTTGTTTTATTACGCAGCATTCCCCTCCCCCCATGCACTGATTAATTATTAACAACTGTGACCACAACTCATCACTTTTCTTGCTGTATCCTCTTTCGTGAAATAAAATATATTGTACATAAATGCGATTGTAGAAGGGCATGAATACACTGAAAACAGCCTCTTCGCTGAACACTACTTGTTTCTTTTTTTCCGCTAATACCATAATGGGAATGATTCATGGATTAATTAGTAATTATTCTTGTCGTCTCCTTTGGTTCCTAGACGAACATAGTGCTTCAGCCGCACGTCGCCATTGCGTTCGGTTCTCTGCCAACGTTTTCGCCTGGCTTCACGTCTGCTCACATGCTTTCATCTCCTTCTCCATGTCACCGTCGCGGTGACGGCCAACTCGCCGCTTACCAATTGGGTTCCACTCGAGAGCCTAGCGTGTGATGTCACCCAATTGATGCTCTCCTCAGAGTATGGTCAATCCACCTCCATTTCTTCATGCAGATTTATTGCACAATTGGTTACTGGTTGATTCCTTCCCAGAGATCCCTTATGCTGATCTTTTCTGGCCGGTCATCTGATTTCGAGTAGTATTGAGTGAAGACAGCTGTTGATGAAAGTCTGTAGTTTGTCCGAA